TTATTCCTTAATAAATAAACAAAAACAAAACCAAACAAACAAAATCAAACAAAAACTCACACAGGAAAAACCAAAGCAGTATCAAAGGAAAAAATCTGTTCAGGAAAACTTAAGGCTTTTCCCTAGAAACGCCAATCTACTGAAACAGAATTCCTAAATGAAACTGCCTCATGCCTAAAGGTTGCAGCACTGCTGTTTTGTTTTTCTAAGGAAAGCTTATCTCAGGAGAGATAGGATTTATTGGTGGGTTTATCACCTTATGTGGAAATGAAACATGAGAACTGAGATCAAGGGATGCTGCTGCACAGACTAGCTCATTTAAATCTACCATTGTAATTAGAACTTACACAAAATAAAACAAAGGAACTGGAATATCAAGAATACTTTTGTCATCTGTTCTTGGTGTTATCTTGGAAACCTTTCTCGAAACAAACGCAGATTTCACATAGGTGACTATATGTAACACAGAAACACAAGTTAGTGCCTCAATTAGAACTTACACAAAATAAAACAAAGGAATTGGAATATCAAGAATACTTTTGTTTCTTGGGGTTGTTATCTTGGAAACCTTTCTCGAAAGAAACGCAGATTTCACATAGGTGACCATATGTAATACACAAACATAAGTTAGTGCCTTGTAATCTATAAGAGAAATTGGACTTCTCTGTGATCCATAGCTAAGCAAATAATCTTTATCAGCAAAGATAAAAAGAATAAGAGAAAAGAGAGTTCCTCTTGATGGGGACTGAAGGAAAAAGGGAAGGTAAAAGTCTCCAAATGTCCTAGTCATTGCCCTGTTGCCAAGCAGCTATCGGGATGTTCTGGACAAGGGACAGTAGTAGAAAGACTGAGCATGGATTTAAAGTTTCTTTCAGGAAGCCAGAAATCAAGTCATATAATCAAGGAGGGGAAAAGAACAACTCTCTCTTCAGATGCTCGAAGTGTACTGCCCTGGACCACAGCTGCAGTCGGTGGCTGGACTTGTTTCATTCCCTGTTATAAACATCCTCCCTGTATTCTCCAGTGCAGTAAATCACTCTGAGTTTAAGTGGGAGGAACTACAGATTTAATTTGTTATCCTCTCTCGCAGTCATCCTACGACCACATCAGAACCCTCCAAACAGCCGCCACGTAATTATGGGAAGCTCATCATCCATTTCAGCAAGCTCCGTTCCCACCCTACCCTCTCCTCTTTGCAAATGTGGATGATCATAAACAAGGAATAGTTCCTCTGTAGCCATCAACTTCTAGATGTTACAAAACAGCTTTTGGTGAGGAGTCCCTGCCACCCCAGAGGGTCCCCACTCACACCGTGGAAGGGCTGACACACGAAGCACAGACATTCCTGCAGTGCACACCAGCAAACTTGGCTGGTCCCCGCCCCACACCACAGGGTGATATATAATGATACGTCCGAGATCTCTACCAAACGGGCACAAGACACGAAAACAGAAAACTCAAAACTTCAGGCGCCGTAACTATCACTCCTTTTGTTTCAAAAGTGGTTGAGTCAGGGGAGCTTCTGAAGGAGAGGATCTGGAGGGGCCAATTCCCACGCAGAACAACGTTCCTCCTTCCTTGTGCTCGCTGACAGTCATCTTTGGAGTGGTCTAAAGCAAGTACTTTAAAACATCCAGGAACCTGGCATAACTTCAAATCCAGATACAAATATCACATACCCCTCATGGTTTCCAAAAGACAGCTCGCACCAACACTTTGGCAATGAATTAACTTTGGCCATTCCCATGGTCTTATTTTCAGATCCAACACCTTGAACTGTCAGAGCAGATCAAGGCATTCTGTCTTCAGGGTGAAACAACATCCTAGAGCCTACACTTTATAACCAAGAACTCCTAAAATCCACCCTATCTGGGCCCCCAGGTTCAGGACATCACTAAATTTAGTCTTAGCTGGAGCGACAGAAGCTCTAAGGACAACTTTGAGGATCTCTTTTCTTTAGGACTATTACCAAGTGTTTAAATGAGGCAAATGTGTGATCCTATAATGCGCAACAGAAACATTTTACTAACTGCAACAACGCTGAAAGCCAGAACGTAGATTAGAAACCTCACCTGTGTCACACATACACCCACCTCAGCTCTCGGAGGCAAAGCTGTCACGTAAGCACTCAACAGATAAATAGGAAAGTTCCCTCTACATCCCCCAAAGGCCCCCATTTGGAAAAAGGACATTTAAAATACGCTCTGTACAGCTGTTGTCTTACCATTTGCCTTGTGTTCCACATCTGGCGGAAACTGGTCAGGAACATACCACTGATAGTCTGGCTGCACAGAACAATAAAACATTATTACAGCAACATGGACTTCATAGACACTTCAAACAAAAGAACAGTGACATGGTAAAAACATAATTGTCCTGTCAAGTTGTTTTATTAGTCATATAGAAGTAGTTTACAAAAAAAAAATCTTATATTTAGCTTTATATTTCCACTGATCAAGTCTTCCAGTTTGATTCTGTTTTATGACATGTGGTTTAGATGCCACGCTAATTACAAATATTTGTGTAAACGTTTCTAGATCCCACAAATGCAAAGAAACGTTAGCAGAAACAAACCAGACTTTCACGGCTAACGAGAAAAGTGTGACAGAAGATATCAGCAGACATCACATTCTCTCTACTAAAGAACCCCAGAGAAACCTGGTACACATCGACCTGACAGGTGAAGCTCTTCCAGTCTGAACACATCTAACATCTGTAATGTTTCAGTGTGGCAGGAATAACCCATTTAATAAAGTTCTCTCCCTTTCTCCCTTCCCCACAGGTTAGCACTGGTGTTACTGTAACATTACCTGTTATCAAATAACTTCCTGAAAACACTGCAGGATGGGAAAAATTCCTATCCTTCTCGTAAGAGCAAGTACTGGGAAAGATGTTTATGCATATACAGTTTCATCCAGGGAAATTGTGGAGGAAAGAAATACCGCATTACAGTTTATACCACACATCATGGAAAATGAGAAAGGGAACAATTCTGGGATGAAATATTTCAGTTCAAGCTGTATTAAGCTGTCCATCTCTTTCAAGCATGTCAAATTCCAGGTGACTACTCTTCAAACTAGTTATACCGGGAAAATAATTCTTGTTTTGCAGAAATTACTCCATCAAAATCCTGAGTAGTCCCAAGGAGACCCTTAGAGATTCCAACTTGTAAGGAAGAAATTTCCTAGACTTGTTTAGAAGTTTGGCCTAAATTAGGATGGGAGGACGAAGCTGTAGATACCGAAAACGGATTTAACCTTTACGTATGCTGTCACTCACAGATACGCAGCAGTAATCGCTCTCGTACACTGTCAGGAAGAGGAGCTTCGTTTAAGCACAGGTAGTTGGCTCCAAGTACACTTATTTGCATTGCTTCCTTGAGTTTCTGTTCAATTTTCTGCTCTCTACTCTTCACTTTCATATGTATTCACACCATACCAACTGAATAATTTCAGAAAAGAAAGGCTTATTTTGCATTAGTCTAAACAATGTTTCTACTATGAAAGAACAAACAAAAGGTGCACGTTTTAAGAAGAAAAGATGAAAATCACAGACTAAACACACAGGGTCACGTACATTAACTCGGGACGTTGGTTAAATTCTAACACCTTTCTTCATTGCTAAACAAATTGCTCAGGGAGGTATCAAAAGCTCAGAGCAGCAACACCCCACTCAGACAAAGAATTTCAAAGAAAGCTCAGAATAAAACTGGGAGTAACAAAGCAACCAGTCAAACTGACCCCGGCACTCCGGCAGGAATGGCAAAGTTGTAAACCTAGTGATCCCTCGTCGAATTAGAAACCCAGATGATGAAAATTCAGGGAGAAGAGCCAAAATAATCCGGGACAGTGTCCAAATTGCAGTGAGAAACATTCTGCAGTACTTCCAACCCTGATAAATAGGCAGATAAGCACACTCCTGAAGCACAGAAATGACTTGTTCGACCACAGCTTCTCTGTTGGATTTCTGCAGTCTGAAAGCCTTATGTGTATTCTGCAAAAACTCAGCTATAATTTCTCAAATAATGAGCATCTTTCCACACGTGACAGCTTTATAGCCACAAACAGATACTGCATATTTAAAGTGACATGTGCTGTGCCGTGTTTAAAAGCATTCTGCCCAGATTTGAAGAAGCACGACCCACTTACATAACCCGAAGCACTTCAAAAATATCATTCTTTGAAGCAGTAATTTCCTTGAAATAGATAACTCCCTCTCACAAAACCTGCCCCAGTGCAAAGCTCTTCATGTCGAGGAAGGCAGGACGCTGTTGTGTGCCAGGAGAAAAGGCAAATTTCCCATTGTGTTAGCCACACTCAGATACAACTTCTACTTAACCTGATTTTTTAATTTTATTTTCTTCGTTTGCAATACACAGGCTTGCTTGGCAAAATTGCTTTCCTAAAGCATTTCCTAAAGCCAGAGTGCTTCACCCTCAGTATTCCTTATTCTTCACATAATCCCATTTTGCAGCAGTGTACCAGAGAGAAGATACTACTGGGTACAAGCAAGAGCATCTGGGATTTCACCCTTACAGTTTAATAGCAACGTTGTGAATCCTGCCGACAGCTTGTGTGCCTGCCCCAGCAAGCATACAGGGAACCCGGGATTGTGCAGTCTGGTGATAATTTATGAATATGCAAGTCCTAAGTGAAGAAGAAAAGTCATTTGCCATAGAGAGAGAGACAAAGAAAGAAAGACTCAGTGTAAGACAGGGAAATAAGTTGTATTAGTCAAGATTTCTTAGACCACATAGAGGGAAGAGATCAGAAAAATGCTCAACACAGCTAGACTCTACGTTTGGTCACTTTATGTTATGAAGAGCCAGTACAGGGCTCCAGAGAGCAGACTCCTATTAATGAATTTGGATAACTAGATAGCTAGAAAGGGCTCTGAATATGTGTCGTGGAAGTAATCTAAGACATCAGCAAGAGTCCAATCAAACAACTTATTTTTTTTAATTAAGGAAGGACCGCCAGTATCACTGAAAACAAATGTATAATAACCCCCTTTCTCTTCTTAATGGTAGTCTAGATAAATAGTATTTGCCAAAGTAAATTTAAAATACATAAGAACATATACTTAAGGGGGCCGATTAGCTCAGTCAGTTGAGCGTGGCACTAACAATGCTGAGGTCGCGAGTTCGATTCCCGTTCGGTCCCCATGTGTTGCCTGATCTAGTCGAGAGGTGGCGTCCCTGGTGACAGGGAGGCTGGATTAAAATGATCTCTAAGGTCCCTTCCAGCCTAGGCCATTCTATGATAAGATAGAGCTACAACCGCATATGAAGAAATTAAAGTATAATACATGAACCATATATTTAACTTGCTGCAATTTCCCCTCTTTGTGCACAGGTTTCTGTTGGTTTTGCTTGGATTTTCTCATGGGACCACTCCATGCAATTCTTTACCCAAGACACTGGAACAGCAAGCAAGTAAGAAAACCACAACTATCAAGAGAAAAACAGCATTTGAGGGCAGACAGTAAGGGACAAGAGACTGTACAGAGATCACCAAGGCTGTTCCAGACCTAGAGCTAGGTCTAAAACCAGTACAAAAACTCAATGTGAAACCAACCACAGACCAGTAAATAACCTATTTAGTTACTGGTGAGAATGGGACTGTGAGAAAAGTCAGTGTCCCTGTGAAATGGGAGACAGCGGGAACCTTACTGTGTGCTGTTGCTGCTCACGTGCCCTGCAAGGCACTGGATGTACTCGAGGATCTTGATAGTGAAGAACCAACCCACAACTCCCGTAATTCACACATGGTGATCGGAGGTGTGTAGCTGGGCCTCTCGGACTGCGCTGGGAGGTCTTTTGTCTGTCAAAAAATAAGAAAAGAAGGAAGGAATGCATTAGCAGTGAGATACAGTGACCAAGAGAACACTCACATACAAATTCATCAGTAAAAAGCAGCGGGGAAGGAACACTCCTCTCAGCATGGGTAGCAATGCTGCTCACTTAGGCCGGTCAGATTGCTCATAATTTAAGAAATAATTTAAGAAAGCTGGCTTGTGCTACACCAGAGTCTTGATGCCTTCTATGCAAGAAAATATTAGTTTCAAGATATAGCAAGTACATTTCTGACTTTTTTTCTATATTCAAGAAACATTACACACAGTTTCCTTCAATAGTTTGAAGTAGAACTACACAGACAAGCACTTGCATAATAAAAAAAATAAATGATTCTAGTCAAGTACCAAAGTCTACAGCCTCAACATTTGGGTCTGCCTTTTCTTAGGCCTTCTGTGTTCCAGCAGAGTCAACAGGAATTTGTCCAAGGACAGAACAAGGAGTGGTAAAAGACGATTAACATTCAATGATTCTGTCTTATGATGCTATGAATCACAAGTAAGTAATTTGACTCAATAAACCAAACTAATAAACATTCTATATGGTTCTTTTCATGCTTAAAATCATTCACAACCTCTGTTTAACCAAATCCCAAGGCAGGAAGAGACCAAAAAGATCTCTAGTGTAAACACTGGATGCAAGTTAGGGAGTCAGACTGCACATACACATTATGCAGCACTTGTACAGCCCTTTAGGTACATTGGACACATGCATTGCTGTCGGATTTTCTCCTGGCCCAGAGCAGCTGGGAAGGAGTGGGAAAGACTTTTTAGCCCCATTTTCAGTCCCCCTCTTCACTGTCACTGCTGTGAGAGGCTCTCTCAGAGTCCACTGACTGTCTGAGGTTGTACGAGAAACTTAGACTTTTACAATCTCTAAATAACGCAAAAATTATAAAGAAGGAAGTTCCTTTAGTACTCCATCTCCCATAAAAACCATAGTTTTATCTTACCGAACCACTCAGGGTTGGGCTGGGGGGTGGGGAAAATATATCTCTAAGTTGTTGCACGCAATGCTAACAAGTTTCACTGAGGTATTTCTACATGTCTGGGATTCCCTGGCTGGCAAATGATGGCATTCTCGTTTTTACACTTGCATGAAATGTTTCCAAGAAGCCACAAAAGCACTGACAAGTCTGGGGCCTTACTGCAGCGTCACCCAGCATGGGCCAGGATGCCCACTCAACCTGCTCTCCAGTCGAAATGAGGCTGATGGGAGTGAGGGATGCATGACAGCACCTTGCCCCGACACTACTGCAAGACTCTACTAGTATCGATGCATGAGTTCGTTGAGGATAAGCCGATACTGAAGTTTCTGTTTCACAACAACATTGGGAGAGAACACTAAATCACCACAGAACATTTCAGTAACTGGCCATTCTTTTAAAAGATTGCACAATTTTTTCAAGACAGGAAACCTCGAAATTTCATCATTTTTAAGCGGCGATTGAGAAAGCTCAGCGTTTTACACGTCCCGATTTTACTATGGCTTCCTGAATGTCTGTGAACAGAATATTGACACTAATGTGAAGAGATAAAAAAGATGTTGCAACCAAAAATTATTGCAGCGTCTGCTCAGCTAATTTGAATGGCGACAGATTTTTTTTTTCCTCAGTGATATTAACGTTACTCTATAAACCCACTGCAGAAATTGGGATTAATAACATAAGCTTTTTATTTTAAAAGTTGGTTTGATTTTACAATTTTTATATCAAATGCCAGTGAAACAAGAAGTAGTCCCCTGGCTTTGTTTCTGGTTCCCCCCCACGCTTCATTTAAAGATATCTTTGAAGAGTTTTTGCAATAAAAAGATTCCCTTCATCTACTTAATTTGGAAGTCATCTCTAATAACTTCCCATCCTCTTACTACATTACTTCAGAATGATTTCATCCCAGGTGGTGACCTCATATAAAATCCAATGTCAATTAATGGAAGCCAGAAAGCCTTGGGTTGCGTGGCAAGTGAGAAAATAAAAATAAAATACACATGTGCTGGCAATGGTAGCTTTCTTTTGACTCATACCTGAGAGCTGAGTTTATTCAGTTGAGCCTGTAATCTCTCGTTGATTTTCTGCAATGTTTCTTTCTCCTCATTAAGTCTTTCTCGGTCAGATCTCTCCTTTTTGAAGTCTTCTTCATATATTTGTACCTGCAATCATTATGATCAATATGCAAACTTCAGCTGAATCACAATGGAAGTTTTCATCCCCTTTGTTGTTTGGTTGCTTTTTAAACACTGGCCAGGCAGCAAGGTGCATTACAAAGGGATTCCTCCTCTTTGCAATCCTGCAATCTGAAGGTTCCCTCGTCTTTTTTAGGATCAGTACAAAATGACAAGCAATTGCTATTCTCCAATGGTAAGACAACGGAAAGACAGAGGTTCGACCCTGTTGTTAAAAGATAAGCTGCCTTTCAAACAGTGAAGGATGCAATGGCTTAGTTCTTTCAGTGTCACCAGGAATCATAGAGCAGCATTCCACTGAAAAAAAGAAATATCTGACCACCCCGGGCACAAGCAGCGAGCACACGGATTCACAAATCTGTAAACTAACTGGTGTCAAGATGAGTGGCTTAGTTCTTCAGCTAATGGGCAGGCATCCACCTGGTAAGAAGCTGGAGGTTGGTGGCACTTCTACTGATAAATAACAGCAAAAGCACAATGGGGTGAAAAACCAGCACCAAAACTTTCCTAAGTCCTTTCATGTCCTCTTAGTTAGTGACTAAAGCCCACTGACAGTCTATTTCCAAAGAACTTGCTTGCTGCGGCTCACGCCCTGTCCATCGCACAGATGCGGTTTTCCTTCTGCTGGCAGCAGCATTCTAACTTCACCGGGGGATTGTAGCAACATTAATACCTCAGGGGAAGAAAGAAGTCAACACAGGGCTCTAGAAACGATTTTCACTGCTTGTCTGTTGCAGCTAATTTTCGCAAGGTTTTTTCAGACCCAGTGGTCCCCCACTAGTTATAACCCCCTTGTTGAATAACACCATGTGAAAGGAACAAGGCTTTCTGTGTGGGGACTCGGCTCTGCAGCTTGTCCCTGGAGAAGTCATTTGTGCCCCTGCAGAAATCTGTCTTTTGGATCCCTGTCCATCTACAGGCTTCTCTCCTTGCTATTTCCTCATTTCTTTTCACCCGATTCCCTCTGCTGAAGCTACTTTGGTCACAGTTTTGCCACATATGCTGTTGCCCTGAGAAAGAGGGGGACACTTCTCAATGAATGAATGCTTTCATCTCTCCTGTCGTGGTCAGGGATGGGCTGATGACAGCCGGGCTCTGGCGAGACTCCGCCACGTCGCTGTTTGTCCCAAGAGTGCCTCCTCTGTACAGTTAAGAGCCTTCTGCTCCATTCCGTGCAGAAGGAAGTCTGGACTCACTGTACTGATTTATACAACTAGAATAAGACTAAGGTCAAATGGATACCCCATGAGGATTCCGGAAAAAAAAAAGAAAAAAAAAAGGTTTACTCTGTTTTATTGTGTAGAATGAAATAATTCATTACTGCACAATCAAGTGCAGGATTTTGTTCTCCAGCATGTGGCAAGCATTACATTAGAGCGCAAAATCTGGCTCTGCCGTCAAACGTGACCGAAACAAGTATTTTACTCCCATTGAATAAAATTCCCATTCTGATCACATCCATTTGTGTGTCAATAATGTTAACCCTAACACTGTCCAGGGTGTCCAGACCTAAAATGTAAAACTATCTGAGCAGTATCATGTTTTTAAACAAATTCTTTCATATGGAAAGAAAAAGAGTACACACAGCACTTGAGCTGCTCGGAACAAAGATGTTAAAAAGTAAATACACTTGTCTATAATGACTAATATGCAGGTTACATACTTCTACGAAAAACAGAGCAACAGGCACGATCTTCTGGGTGAAATTCAGCCCCTACCAGAGAGCTGTTAGAACATCTCCAAGAGTCAGGAGAGCCATTCTCCCCCTCCCGATCCTACAGAAGTCCTTGCTCAGTCCTTTGCGAGGACTCAGTTTGACTTTGTGGACGCTGCTGTGATGACAGCATATTGAAAAATACCATCTCAATGGGCTACGGCTAAATCTAATCTTTCTTTTCAAAAACTCTATAGAGTGAGTATATCAGGCACAATTCTTGGGAAAGAGCGTAAAAGTATGTTTCATGAAATCCACCCAGGCTTACTTCCAGCTGTTCTCACCTGCTGTTTGAGAACTTCAAGTTGGGTTCTCATGTCCTCAAGGCTGCTCCCGTCACCCTTTTCTGAAGGAGTCCCAAGAGCAGCAGTGTGCTGCTTTTTCAACACATCCAGAAGGGCCTAAAATGTTAAACAGCAAAACTACTAAACAGATTCACTACATAAAAAAAAAAAAATTAACAAAATCCTTGTGAATTGCTAGAATGTTTGCTCTCTAAATAGCTTAGCGAGAGTCACAGACTTGTGAGAGTTTGCCCTTTACTTGCTTCCGTTATATACACCGGATATAAACTCCATGAATAACAAACACGCATGACTAGTATACATTTCACAAGTGCCCTCACTATATCTCTGAATTTGCAACAAAGTCATTTAGGGGACTATGTTTTTACTTGTAACTATAACCAATGTTTACCTATGGAAATCACAGCTGCAAATCTCATTCATAAACACCACTTCCCTGTGCAAGTCGGAAATCGGGACAAGAAAGAAGGAATTTGAAGTCAAACACGAAAAAATGTTTGAAGCCAAAAACTCAAGAACATAAAAACAATTTTCAAAAGATGGCCTAAAAATGTGACTGCAAACTAAAGGTGACTGCAAAGTAAAATCTGACTGAAACAGTTTTTTCACTACGAGTACAAATTTCTTCAACTGGAACTTACTTAAATCCCCTGGCTGAGAGGAAGCTATGTATTCTCCGTATCTTGTCACTAGAGGGAGTTACAATTACACACACTACGCTGGTAATGCTCTTACTCTATTTTTCAGTTCAACTCTAGACTTCTTTGGAGATTTTATGTATTTTGAAGAGCACTACACAGCTCTCCCTTGGGCTGGAATAATTTTTAAACTACTTGTAGCCCTCTAGCCCTCTCTGCCTATAACCACACACTACACAGACTTTTTTTTTTTTTAAAAGTCTAGCAAAAGCACTCACCATTAAGTACTTCTCAGTGTCTCTCACATAATATATTAACTCAACTAACTTAACCCATTTTAGAAAGTTCAATTTCTGCTGGTGAACCCCAGCTCTCCCTTGCTGGTCACATCCTTTGATGCCACAAATGATTGAAGGAAGAGAGTCTGGAGGAAGAAAAGGCTGAGGGGAAAGTGGCCAAGCAGCAGAACCAGCATCTGAAGTAACCCAAGGATTCGTATTAACAATATTAATAACTAGAAGGCCAACAACAACTTAACAAAAGAAGTTGTTAACAGTTCTCCTAATTCTTGAGAAAAATCTCACTACATTGACTATTTTTCAGTATTGCCATTAAGGAGGACAATGTAGAGCACTGTGACAGGATGGCCTACAGCAAGGAAGATGTACCTATGAGCAAGAAGTCACAGCTCACTGAGTTAAACAGCTTAATGGGGTATTAAATAACATTCACTCAGAAGTACTGACAACTGAATCCTGAAATTACAAGACAAGCAGCAAAGAGGTTTTCTCCATTTTTCAACATCAAAAATGGAGGTGTATGACTGGAAATTAACTGCCTTCATTTCCAAAGCTATAAAAAGCATAGGCAGTCCCTGCACCTAGAAATCTCTTAATCTAATCTAATCTAATCTCTAAAGCGCCTTAGGCTTGGCAGGAAATTTTGAAGAGAACTGCCTTAGGGACATGAGAAATTGGACGAAGTAAAGGACTCTAAACTGACATTTTCCATTAAAAAAAATTAGTTCTTATCGGGGAAATACATTAGAACTTATTAGCCTATGTATAAGTAACAACTGAGATGGCACTTCAGCAAAATTATGAAAGAAGTAAGAAATTTAGGTTGTACTTGAACCATATGTTGAACAAGGAAACAGCCACAGGAAAGTATATAACCTTAGGATATAGGGTAGCAAACTATTACACCATTGCAGCATGAATTTCATGGTGCAAATCTCCAAGTAGGATCATATCGGACTCTGTACTTGGGGTACTCTGGATGACCAGATCAAAGCTGGATGCAGTTCTAAGTAAAAGGGTCAATGCGCTTGGAAACACGTACTAGTGTCTTCCATAAACTAAGAATTAAGCAGCTGAAAATTACTTAGACTGAAAACCAGGTTTATACAGTACTATTTCAGAAGACCAAAAGAACTGGGTCCCCTTAGCTAAGCTATCCTCTGGTGAAAAGACAACTGCTCTTTGCAGCTAGAGAAAAGGAGCAAGTGCCCCTAAGAACAACTGAATTTTTACCAGAGCACAGTTTTGCTCCGGAGAGCACAAATCTGCTTCAGACAAGCAGTAAGGCAGTTCTGTTCAACACCATTACCAGAAGAACAAATTAATATCATCTGGCCAGAATAATTCAGTGCAATTTAAAGAGACAAAAGCACCTAATGCAAGGAGGGTTACAGTTCAAGAGCAGCCTTCCAACAGCAGCACTGTAGAATGACCTTAAGTATCTTGAAGGAAAGGGTTGTTTTACTTCCAAGAACTTGTAAGAACTTCCAAGTCACCGAACTCGCAATAGCAGGTCCCTTCCAATCTTACATACATTCAAGACATGAGATTTGAAGGATGCAAATACAGAGTGTCAGGAAAATACTTGTGGGAAAGTACATTACATGAAACTAATGTTTCATTTCAACGAAGAGTCTATTTACTCACCTTAGTTTCAATCACACTGTACGATAACAGAAAAATAAAACATTGAACTGAGATGTTTTATAAACAATACCTTGAATTAAAGTTACACTGAGGCTATGAGCAAGTCCTGTCAATGCATTTCAAAAGAGTCAGAGATCATATGTTCTGTCAGATTTTTTCATATGGCGACACGGCTTTCTTTGCCTCGGCCTTTGCACATTTAACTTGTCTGTCAACGTTACAGCAATGGGTGCTGCAGTGCATTTCCTCAGGAAGTGTTTTGTGGTTCACCATGAAATATAAAATTGTTAGAAAACACTCACTGCTTTATGTGATCTTTTGACTGAACAAAGTTACATTTATTACTTTCCCTCAGTGACACAAATAAATAAACAAACAAATAAATAAATATTGCCTAACTGTTTTGTGGCAATTTCCTCAACAAGACATACATACATGTAACAGTTACATGTATGAATATATAAAAATCAAGACAGTAGCATATCTTGTGAAGAGAAGTCATTATTCTCCTTCATAGAATATATGTAAATCAGCAGTTCTAAAATGGTGTGATTTTTTTCTTTTTATCTTTTCATCACAGGGATTTCCCTTTTGTTCTAAGGAGGAAGAATGTAGAAAAAGCCTAGATATGACAACTAGAGAGGTTTCACAGGAGAAGTCCAAGATTCTTTTAACTTCCTTCTCTCCAACAGAACCCTACTACCTGCCAAGAACCGCACACACAGGTATGAGCTAATGTAAGTTCTTGCTTGTTCCCCCAGCTCCTGAATGGTGATCATGAGCTTCCTACCATGAACAAGTTCACCCAGGACTGAAACGACAGGCACCTGGTGGTGTCACTGCTTGACAACAGAGACCCCAGAATTAAAGCAAGAGGTCTCGGTCAGCGGCTCACTCTTGTTCATACCTTATTGAGACGACTTATTTCACACTCGTAGCTTTCCTGCTTTCTGATCATCGAGGCATTCTTCTGCTTCAGGAGCTTGTTCTCTTCCTTCATTTCATGCAGAACTTCACTCAGGACCTTTGCTTCTTTCTGGGATGCAAAAATAGAGAGAGATGCTGCTCAAATGCAGATGGAACCATTTTTCAATAACAATTTTCAGAGTATCTGCTGTCTGGCAGATGTGCTGCATTTTTGTTGTCCCAAACACAGCTGGGAAGGGAGGCAACAGGAAGGCGGATGCTTAGTAAAACCCAGATATGATAAAGTCTGTTGAAACTGTTTTGAGCACTCACCATATGATGGGACAAAGACAACAGACCACACTAAATCCCTGCTCTCTGCAGTGGGCAGTTGCACGAAGGCATGAGAGAGCTGGCAGGCCAAGTAGATCAGTACCCTACAGATGGTTATCCTAAAACTTGCATTACTCTCATGCACTCATAACACAAGGTCAGGCTAAATGCTGGTGGAGTGCCAAGTTATATAACATTAAAGTCAAAACCAGATCTCACTATCACATGGTCTGAGGGTGTTTTTCCCACTACGTGAGACTGAGGCAGGTCTCAGCCTGCTCAAGAATGACCAAGATACCAACCAAGGTTTCAAAATCCAGTTCTTCTGACCTCATTGCAGTCATTGATTTGAACTTCACCTTTCCTAGAGCACGTGCCTCTGCTGCTGTCCCAGCAAAGCACCAGGAAAATGTCCCCACGTGCACAGCATTTTAACACCAGTCTTTCAGGATGGTATTATTAAAAAAAATCAATCTAATAATTCCTGTAAGATTGATTGTCTTGTGCTAACACTTTGAGTGAGGCTATTTTCAATCTACAGTGAATAAAGCTGGGATTTGAGGCAAATGGCATTATGCAAGTTTCTCTCACAGGGTAATGCATTCCTCACTAGCCCATTTTGCCAGATTGTGTTAGATCCAAGCTGTTTAGACATACAAAACACAATGGCTGATTCTACAAAAAAAACTCAAGAAAACCCCAAAATAAAAATGAAATCCTTTTCCGCAGCTGCATTACGAGATTAAACCAAGAGATTCAACTATCACACGCACAGGACACCAAACGAATGCTTTCTCTTCTGTACAACAGGCAGCCAGCTCCTGGACATTCAAGGCTGAGGCTCACAAGAAGCACAATACCCCGTGCTAACTGAGTCACTGTCAAGCACCCTTGAGAAACCGTTGTTTACACGAGGTAGCTTTATTTTCCTTTCCTGGACGTTAGTTATAAATGTCATTTTCTTCAAAAACTGGAAAACATTAGCAGGGTATCTCTGCATTAAGCATAGGAACTCACTCAGGAGCTGGCTCAAGTTGACATGTGAATGTGCCTTTTAAATTAAAAAAAAACAAGCAAATCACTAAAATCCATATAGGATTTTTGCTATGCTCTTCTCTGCACCTTTGCTGTCCTCCTTTCTTAATTCCTAGCACACCTCCTTCTCACAGGCTGACACCTCTGTGAACATGGCCATTTATAACTCAAGATTTCCAGTTTGTTCAGGTTTTCAAACAACGAATTATTAAATATTATCGCTTCTTATTTGATACTATCTCAAATATAAGGGCACCTAGACTTTCCAAGTGCTAGTCTGGTCTTTGATTCCTGTCTGCAAGTACTCAATCATGCTCAGAGAGAAAAATAAATAAATAAAAAATTACATCCTCAAACCAGTCTGTTTTCCTCTGTTGGCCATGGAGTTCACAGCATTATCATTCTGAGAGCTACACCTCCAGTTGCATTAAAAAATAAACACACAAAAAACCACCAACAAACTCAGTAAGATGGCAGTAGCATGTAATTTTTTTTAGGGTTGTTGGGTGCTGCTGATTTTCCTAAAAGGCTCAGCAGGGCACTCGAATTCTGAATAAACAAATTTAAAAGGTACTCTCACAGGCTGCTGGACTATATTAAGTAAGTAGAGAACAAGCATCTTAATACTTTCCTCTGGCAATTGCCCCACACAGCCCGCCCCAGCTCCATGGCTACAGGGAAGGTAAGTAAAACATGTGAAAAAGAAAGGGTTGTTAAATATATATAGAACCAAACACAGGTACAACAGAGCACTGGCACAGGCTGCCCTGAGAGCTCGTAGAGTCTCCTTCTCTGGAGACATTCAAAACCTGCCTGGCCACGTTCCTCTGTGACTCTTTGTGATCCTGCTTCTGGCAGGTGGGTTGGGCTAGATGATCTTTCAAGGTCCCTTCCAACCTCTAACATTCTGTGATGAAAAATGTTAGTTGCTGCAGAAAAAGCAAACAAATATAAAGCCCTAAAAATCTAAGTTTGGTAGGTCTGTCAGCTTGAGCCTCTTCCTCATATGCTGAACTTGAAAGCACCAAAGGTCTGCTCATGTGCTTTCAAAGCTGAACACACCTTCATGCATTTTTCTGAATCATCCCCTGGCACTGCTGGTTCTTTTGTATTTTTATTCTGCCCTGTGGGCAGCATAGGATAACTTGAGTTGGCACAGCTGCTTGTATGGGGGTTACAACCCTTCTCGCTCCTTCAAAAGTCTCTGCTTTCAGCAGCTGCCCCTGTAAAGGTGCATGATACCACAAAAATGAAATTCAGAGTAAATAGAAGCACTTACTGGCTGAGTATATTTTCTGTAAAGAAATTGATGGTCTAAGGCTGAAGTTCCATGAAAGCTAACTTGTCCCCATAGGAGATTTTTGGATTATATTGTTATTTAGTCATTACTCACGTATGTATTTAAAAAATTGAGAGAGTACTTCTCATCCTTATCTTTTCTCAAAGGTAGCTAAGGCTATTTTTCACAGCTATCGCATCTTAAAGGTAACATAGTAAAAATCTTACTAATGCAAACAGGAAGATGGATTGTCTCACATTGAATCCACATTCAAAGCAAGTATAAGCAGGGATTCAGCAAGGGCGTGATGAAATAGTTTGCTTTCAAACACATAAACAGTCCCACTGGTTGGGAATCAAGCACATGCTTACCTACGACCATACTGTAATTGATAAGCAGTTAAGATGAATGTTCTGCTTATGAAGACAAAAGCTAAGGGGTTTGCATTTCTTTTCCTGCAGCAGCTAACTTGCATCTTACCTGAGCCTCAAAGTGATGCAATTGCTCCTTGTTTTCAAATTTATTTCATGTTATCAAGCTAACAAGAGAAGCCCGACTTCAGCTGTCAGAGCACCATCCAGAAACTCTTACAAGAGATTATGAAGCGTGTGAAACGGTGAAGCAGAATGCGAATAAGTTTAGTGCGTACGTTGGGTATCAGTATGCCCATCAATCAGGCTAGTGGGTGTACCGTGCTGGGAATTCACCTTACGGATCTGACTTGAGATGCGAATGCCTACACAAGACCCAGTGCCTAGGGAGTCCCGTGAGAAGTGCCCGACCGCTGTCGGGGTGAGACAAAGGCTGCTTTAGAGCATCTGATGAGCCCAGGCACCTTCAGCTGGAACAGCTTCACTGCCATTAGCAACATCACTAATGTATACAGGGAGCTGAGATACTTAGCACATGTATAAAAACCTGTATTGTCAATACCTAAACGTGGTGAATTCCTTGAAGTATTTATTGCCAAGCACTGAGTGTAACATCTGCAATGACACTCCTGTTCTATTTGAAACCACTGTAACATGTTCCTTCTCAAAGAAATTCACCCCGAATTCAACGGCGGGGAAGGAAATCTCTGCAGTAGCTATATCAATCTGCTCTTTACTCCCCCACGCACACTAAAGCCGTGCTCTCCACCAATTTCTATCGAAATGACTCTCTCTCTATACATAGTTCTCTGATCAAACAGATCAGTCACCGCCTTGAGCAGAGTATTGAAGAGCACTCAACACCACAATCTCGTCTCGTCTCATGACTGTGCAACAACCCACGCCCTGCCACGCGTGAGAAGAGAAAGATGAAAGGCAAGACTGAGCACAAAATGGGTAACAGAGTGTACCCTCCTACCATTTCCTGCAACGGCTTCTCTCTGCCCAGGGCTCTCAACCGCTCATCTCCTGGATGCTGTTGATGTCTCTGCTCCTCCAGCTCACTGACTCTCCTCATCGACACATCCAGTTTTGCTTTCATTTCTGCCAGCTGAAAAGCAAGTGAAAGACCATGGTGGGCTCACTGGGCATCCTGAAAAGCACAGCACCTCGAAGGTGCCTCCAAATCCTTTCAGTTTTTTTTCAGGAAGGAGTAGATCTGGTTGCTGTAAAAGTTCCCAGCTGCTGACTTTCTCCTCTCCACCTGCAGTGGAGCCTCCTAACTATCATAGGTAAATTCTCTGTTGGTGTTAACCCAGCTGGGTCTCGCACTGCTTTGCTTCCAAAGGACAGCAACCCTGAGTCTGTACCTCCAAGTAAGTTTTCCATTGTAACTTCTTTTCTGCAGTGGTGCACACTCAAATGATCTACCCAGAGGCATAAAACAGCCCCATATTAAACGAAGATGAACCATTTTAATTCATTTTCTAGCTGAAGAACAGCAAAAAGGGGGGAGAAAAAAAAGCAAAGAAATTACTCAGATTTCAGTAAAACTTATTGGAAAATATCAGAGACAAAATTTTCCTGATAAGCACATGATGTCACTCTGCAAACTTCCTTTTCATAGAAGGAAACAGGAGATGAGAAGTGTCGGTCCATGAACTAACTCAGTTTTTGGAATACCAGGCAGAACCGTAAGCAGCTGATTATAATGTCTGCAGCAAAGGCACACAGCTACAAGCAAAGAATGAAAGCTATACCAATTGGATCTTGACAAAAAAACAGAAGTAAAAAGTACTGATTTGCAATTATTATTATTTTTCTTAACGAACAGCTTTTCTACAGATCAGGTTTTTTTAAAAAAAAAACCTAAACCACGAACTTTCTGCATACAGAAGGCAGCACTGAAGGAGGATTTATCTGTGAGCTCTTCTATTACATGGAAGCTCACCAGGGCTTCAGGCTTCACAAGCCAGCCACAGGAGATGGGACAAGAACCAACAGCAAGGTGACGATGCAGATAAGTGGCTGGGCACACTAGGCACTGCAAGATAATTTTCACTTAATTGTGCTCTGAAATATGAGCAATTTTATTACCTTGTGGAGGGCATGAAGATCTCTGCTGTCACACGCACCCTGATCCCTACTACTTGAGAGATGCCCTGCTTCTCCGGTTATTTTGTCTTTCTGAAGATTGTATACATTAGCTTCACTTTGTTATTTGTGAGTTGAAGAGAGTGAACATGATGCCTTTTCCTCCTATGATATTTACTATAGCTGTGGCTGGTTGGTTATTATTATTTAAGTATCAGCAGGTGGCATACATTTTCCAACAGAAATAGTCAACATTGTTACCTGTTTTTCATAAAGCTGCTTCATACTCCTATATTGATGATCCCACTGCTTGTTCACCTCCAGAAGCTGTAATTAGTAGGAAATCACAGTAAATAACTCTTATTTCAACACTGTCAATAAATACAAAAAAGGCCTGGCATTCTAATCCTCCAGCTATGAGCGTTCACAACCTCCGCATTCTCTGGCCACTTCACCTGAGAAAAAGCACGTTTAACGCTTGGCAAGCTTTACGGCCCATCTGCTGGTGCTTCGGTGTTTCAGTTCAAGCACATGAACGTTCAGTAAGTAACATTCAGGAGAGTAACATTCAGGAGATGTGCAGGTGAATCATGTGCAACACTACAAATCCCAAACTGCAACTCCTAGATAGCCAAGGACTCCAATGTTTGCTTTAAGTTCCATAAACATATTTCTAATTAGAAGGTCTCAGACTTCAAGCAAGTGAAGACTCCTATTGACTGTAATTGTTACTGGGTGCAAACCTTGCTTGCCTTTCTCAGTACCACCAAACCAAGGAAGGGTACGCGTGCCGGGTGGGAAGATCGCGAAAAACATCCATGTAAAAGTGGTAGGAAGGAAGTCTGCGTGCAGGCATTTTTATTGGAGAAAGCCAAATAGATCCCTCTGAAGCCTTTTTGCTTTGTAGGGTATAGGGTGAGTCTTTAGGACGCTCAGCTAAAGAACAGCTTATCAGTTGCTGCTACCTGTGACCAAGACACCACTGGCTGCTACTCACAGTGGTTCCTCGACCTTTACGATAGTGATCGTTGAGAAAATTTGTCCTTCGCACCGTATAAATCTCTGCTCTTGCAGATTCATAGCCGCGTTACAATAAGTCATTGTTTCTAAGGAACAGTTCTCCAAATATAACTCTGCCTAGTTTGGTAGAGAGAAGTAGGACTACAGGAACTAACTGAAACGTAATTTAAACACAATTTTAAGTGCTTACACACTTCAGGCTTTCAAGAAACACAAAACAGTAACTCTCCACATAACGAACGTCTCACAAGAGCACGGGACGAGATTCCCACGAAAACAACACAAGCTTTGCTAGACTGGCAGGTGAAACCAACTGCAGCACAAACACAGCGTAGGCAACAGTGATAACACATTCAGTGTTTTCCTGCCCCAGACATATTACTGATATTACAATGTCTGTCTTAGAAGCTTTACCTGTAAAGGTTAGGGGTAAACTTAAGATTACCTCTCGTCTCTGTTTTCCCAGTGAGAGGATCTGTTGTTCCAGGGAATTGACTGATACAGGCTTCTTTTTGGTCAGTGATGTGTGCCTCGACTAGAGAAAAGAAATGTTCAAAGACAAATGCTTTCAGCATCCTCTCTTCAAGTCTAGATGATCATATGGAATTCCTATCCACCCTGCCACGTACAGGTCAAGAAATATACCTAATTTTTCCACTGCATGTGTATTTCAGTGCCTTGACAGCTGCCGACAGCTAATTCTGAAGCGTACATCTACTTTAACCCCGCTTTGTTTGTTTTAATTAAAGCATTGTGCAAAGGGACACTGAAATAAACAAAATTGTGTCTATTTGCACCATCTGAGGCACAGAACACAAAATAGGATTTTAATTATCTTACAGATGGTAACATAAACGAGTAACACAAGCCGCAAATGTTGAGCATCAGTTGAAGTGGGCGTAAATAATTCCAGTCGTTTTCAAGAACTAGAATAATTAGTAGTATTGCCCTGGGTAAGTGCTTGCAGGCCCAAGGCAATAAACTTCAGGACAATGGGTTCAAAACAAGCAACACAGAACACAAATAGGCCATTTGGAGAAATCAGGAAATCACTCTGCAGTTGTTCTGTTTTTCAAGCGTGGAGTTGTGCCCATGCAGGACAACAGCAGCTAAACACTCATTTTTATCATGGCAATCATGTATCATAATTTCCAAGAAGTTTCTACGGATTCCCATGAAAACAAGGCATGTGATCTATTAGATATATATAGATATATAAAGAGAACTGTGCTGGAAAAAAAGATACATGTTCATAAAAAAAAACTCCAAACACAACCAAACAAAAAAAAAACAAACAAAAAAACAAACCAAAAACTTATTATGTTCAGATACCTGGTAAGGGATTTTTTTTTATCCCTAAATTCCCAACCAATATATGAGAAAGCACAATAATAGCGTGAGCACTTCTGAGGTCTTAAAACTCCTGAAATAAACACATTTTCCAAAGCTAGAGTACTTAATGCCAAACACAAACACAAAAGTTCAGAGCATAGTTTTGTCATGTCTTTTCACAGACAAAAACCCTGACCATGTATTTGACCCATGGCCGGTCCCTTCTGAGCTCTAATAGGGAGCACCTGATTTCTACTCCAGAAAACACTTAATCCCACCTCTTGCAGAAGTTGATCTACACGTTTAATTTAAAGTATCTGAAGCAATCACCCAGCAGTCACGTGTTGACTTTTCTGTCACAGTCTGGGCCTTGGGCATGTATGTAAGTGCATATTTAAGAGCACTATTAAAACAAAAAGGACAACTCACAAATCTAACAGTTATATATATATATATACTTGGCACCAACTGGTCTGAATATTGTTTGCAGAAGTTGTTCCTACTCTTTGTATAACAATAAATTAAAATGACCAGGTACTTTCAGGTGGGAAGGAGAGGAGGGAACAACCTATAAGGGAAGGTTTTCTCACATCCAAAAATATTTCTGACATGTCCTTCCACTCTTAAACAGCATGAATCCTTCAGACAAAACTAATGGAACACAAAAATGAGGCCATAACTGTCAATCTATAAGGTCAAACGCCTGATACCTGCACAAGCTCAAGCCGTTCCTGTCCATCAGACAGCACTTGGGGGGACAGCCAAAACAGTCACTTACTTCTAGTGGGTCTGCTGGAGCTTCCATGTCACTCACGCCTGCCCACACGCATCCAAGAAGGCTCTGAGCTTTTGGTTCGCTGCCGGTCTTTGAGAGAAGAGCAATGAAACAGATGTTTTATGCTGGTTAAAAGGAGCAGGAAAATTGCAATAAGATCCAGAAGATCTGGGAGTACTGCCTGCAGCCGAGGTTCAGAAATAAGTGGTGGAATTTTGATTTTAACCTTCTCCTCCTTCCTGGCTGGGGCTTCCCGGAAGGGTTGAAGCACACTGCCTGTGACTAACACACCGGGCAAGGCAGGGCTCCACTTCGTGTGCAGGTATATCGCAGTCGACTGGCCAGTTCACCCCAGGAGAGGAAGCTGCACACTTAAGGGAAGGAAGGGTATGCTTTTTCAGTACATAAGAGGATAGAGTTTTCTACCCCTGCTTCCAGTTAGAAAAAAAAGGACTTAAATATGACAAGCATTTAGTGACACTAAGACACTGTGAACTATCATGACAGAAAAACTAGCAAGTCACAATTATAAAGAAGTAATAGTGAAGTCTTAACAAGTATGGGAAGAACGGTTCCATACAATGCCTAAGATGTTTAGGGGAAAATCATAATTCAAAAATGGCTTTACTTCCCTGAAAAAAGTCTGCAAAAAGATGCAGAACAACAGACATCATCATTTTTCTCCCACAGACATTGTACTTGCAAATCTAGTACCTACCCAGTTTCAAGCTACTCAAGTCTTCACTTGAGTAGTCCAGGCACCCAACACTTTAAACTCCTATCTTTGAAGGAATGAAATGAAAGCTGGCATGTGAAATTTGACTTCAAGTAAATCTGTGGGATTATTTTTGATTTCCAGAAAATTATTTAGACACAAGTGAAGTAAACCTGTGAATCGCTGGGGTTTAACAGCAACATTCCAGATCTCTGGTTCATAACGTACAAATAACCAAATAACCACTGTATTTGTAGCGTGTATTGTATTAATTATTATGTAATACAATACACGTACAAATAACCATTGTATTTTGCAAAATAAAAAATTCAATTTTTCAGAAAGCTACCGTTCCACAATATTTGTGCATGAAATATACCTCCCTGTCCTGATGATGTTCTTGATCTTGTTCAAGGAGCAGCTGGAAAGCTCATATAAAGACAAAATTTAAAGAAACCCAAATGCTATTTCAATAAAAATATTTTAGATTTCAGACAGGAATTATATACCCTACCCATAAAAACAAAAAGAATTTTATCTGTACCTACGTCAAAACTAGGCGCTGTGCATATGCCTCCCAAGTACAGCACTAGTATAAAGAAGGAAGAATTACTGGATGATAGCACAGCAGCAGTTTCCACAGAAGCAAGTGAAGTTGGGTAACTTAAGAAAATTTGATTAGTATAACAAGAACTTTCTGTCTTTGGAGATCTGGTCAAATCTGGCTCCTCCTATAAGAGTGGTTGATAACCTCTTATCTACATGTATAATAAAAATGCTTGCTTAACATCCACATGGATCCCTTCTATTCCTATACCATGCCTATTACAGTGACTTACCAAAACATGATGAAATGTTTTAAGAAAATATCCTAGTGAGCAAACTTGCACCTGCAAGTTTGAACCTTCTGTCATGTCTGTGAATCATAATTTAAAAACATTTCAACTCTCTTAATCAGTATGAACTCTTTGCAAGACCTTTACCCAATGTTTTCACCGCTCTTTACACTCCCTTCTTTCTCCCCATTATGAGAGATACTGCCTGGTTTATCTTTCATTTTTGTTCACGCCTATCTTGTATTACTTTAAAGACTAATGTGAAGGGGGAAACATCCTCTTTTATGGGAATCATTCTGGGCACACCCAGGGAAGAAAGTTGCAGATTCTTTGGGGCATAACTCCCAGGAATGTCTGTCTGTGAGCTGAGAGCCAGAAGCTTCCGTAGAGAGACCGCTGTGAGGAGCAGGAATAAGCCAGTCAGCTACCACATACGGAAAAAGCTTCCCAAGAAACAAATAGGACCAAGCAAGATTTGGTGTTTCTCAGAAACACTGACTGAACTTGCAACTGACAGCATACAACCCTGCCTGCAAGGGCTAAGCGGGATGAACTGCTTAGAAGCCTTTTCTGAATTTCCACTCTAAGATATTCTCTAATTTCAATTCGGAGCAGCTCTGAGGTTGAGGTTGGGTTTTTTTCCCCCTTTTATATGGTTTCTATACTAGGAAGACCTGACCTTTCTGAGCATAAAAGACTTTTAGTCATCTTTGGGAAGCTTAAAATGGGAGAAAAATCAAAGCCTTGGAGCTGAGGTCAACACTGAATCCTCTTGCAAGCAGCACCACAAGAAAAGTTCTCATTTTCAGAGCTGGATCTTTATTCTCAGAAGGTATTACAGAAATAGGCACTCACAAGTTGCGTTCATGAAAGTTACTTATCATTTCTCAAAATTCTGTCTGTTCAGTAACCGTGCAGTGAAACTAAGAACCATTAAAATGCTTGATTTAAGTAAAAGCAAGTCTTTCCTTGATGATAACAAAACGGTAAAATAATTATTTTCCTTCTTTTTCCTAGTCAATCAGGTATCTGCTGTGAGGTTTGCTGGGATTTTCTGTTTGGATTTTTTTATGTATTGAGAGTTGTAGAAGCTATATTTATTCTGAAATTAAAATCTGGTGGCTTCTGGGTAGTCTTCTGTTTGATTTGCTTTTGGCTTTAAGCCTAAAGCTGTTATTATGCCAGCAGTGGTTTCTCTACTATATTCATTCATTGCAACCCCTTTTCTCATTCCGGTAGACGTTGTGAAACACTAAAAACTGCGAGATTGTAGTTGAAGAACAAAAATCAGCTCTTAAAACAGAAGAAGAATCTGCCTCTTATTGTTTCAACCCTGTCCACAAGCTGAACTGAGCCAAGTGTGCTAGAAAGGGATTTTTCCCTAAATATGTCAGCTTCAACCTTTTGTGCTGTTCATTTAGGTGCACACTCTGACAGAAAAGCATGCACAGATGCAAATGTGTACCTTAATAAGAGGGAATCAGACAAAATTAGAGCAAGATGTGGTTTCAGTGTAAGCAAAGCATAACACAGGCTTCTGTTTCAGGGTTTATCCACTTTATCCACTGCTTTCCATCACCGCCAGTGAGACTAATCACAAGGCCATGGCTACTCAAGTCCTTAAGCATTTGCCAGCTCAGGCAGCGTGATGAAAAATCCCAATTTCATAGAAACTATCATCCAATTATTGTTCAAACTCTAGAAAACAGGCTATTTTGAGTTTTACAATACAGTTCTAAGTACAGACACCCCTTAAACCAAGAATTGTGACCTGTCTGTTTCTCTAACCTCCTCCCTCTTGTCTGTCTCCTAGAGCAGGGAACTTGTGTGGTCACTGCTCTGCCCTGTGACTTCATAGCTCAGTGCTACTTGATTCTGCACCGACTTATGTTTCATGATGTTGATTCCTCTCCTGGGGCTGGGAATCCCCGATCCTCCCTGTGGCCTCCTTCACTGTTTCTAAACCCATCAGTCTGACCCTGGGGCATCTCCTTTGGCTCAGCTCAGCTTCAGGCCCCAAGGTCATGAGTCATTCTGGAGATGGTGGTTTACATGTGAAAGGAGCTGTGTGTCATTTCAGCTTTCATAGAAGAGTCATCTCTCCTTTACCTCCTCAGCAATTTCCCACATCACTCCCCCACTCCGTAATAGAGCCACACAGACAGGTAAGTGTGTCGCCCCTTGCAGATGGATGGCATTCATGGCTTAACCACTCCTCTGCACCTCCTCCCTCGCCCAGTTTGCTGGAAAACAGGAATTTCCTTTTGTCCTCCTTGTGCAGGATAAAAAAAACCAGCTTACTATTTTAGGGGAAAGAAAGGAAACCAAGAGGGAAACTTAGAACAAGTCTTTCACTCTTGTTAACCGCTGCTTCACTGCAAGCAAAAACGACCATCCTAGCAGGCAGCTTACCATTTTCTGTTTGTAATATCACAGAAGTATGGGTTTGAATCACCATCATTTTTCTTCTTTCTCCCTAGTTATCGATAAGCTTTCTGACACTCTCAAAGATCTTGGTCTCCCACACGACTGGTCACTCTCAGTTAAATTAGAACTACCAAAGCCAACAACCTGAAGAAATGTCAGTGCTCTTGGGGAATACAGTTCTGAGCATCTGTGTTATCCAAAAGGCACAAGCGGCTACAGAGGGAGGCACTTTGGATAATCACTGAGTTTAGCTGACCTTTCAGAGCACTATAAAACATATCTACTTACTCACCCTCTACTTAGTCTATCTTAACTACTCTTGTAACAGAAAGTAGCTGTATCAGAAAAGAAAAAAAAAAAAAAGGAGTGTAGCAAGTTCATCGCGTCATTTCAGAAATCAAAAAAGTTTCATGCGTTATCAAGTCACCTAGGGAACATCTCCAACTTGTTCTTTCCTGGCAGATAAAACATTGCAGAAGCAGACTGCACTTACCTTAAGGGAACACAAAGTTCTCTGAGGGTTCGGACTCTCTTGGGCAACAGGTTCAGGGTCCTCACACGTCTGCGAAGTGGTATTCTTCTCTATCAGGTTCCTAATTTCAACATCAAGCTCTCTGCTTTCACACCTGCTTAGAAAGAAATGGCAATGTTGATCTTCACACTAGAACATGAAGCACAGAGAAGGCAAATTTATCAGCTCTCTCTGAATATGAGAATGTAGTCAGCTGAGCCAGTCTTACAGCAAGCTCCTGCTCCCTTCCTTCCTGGTATGCCCTCAGAAAGCACTGCAGCAGCGTCACACAGACAATTTCTAAGTGCTCTGCAGCAGAAATTAATTTAAAATATTTTAACAAGCAGTCTTTATAAATTTTACTACCTTTAGTCTATGAAATCCAAGTCATTCCTTTTGGAGATGATATGAATGCTGTCATGTGCTCTCAACACCATCTACCTGCAGTTTTAAGTATTTCCTACTCAAATTGAACAAAAATGCAATTCAAATGGTTAAACTGGTTTTGAACTCCAAAACTACGTTCTCAGTTCACAAAGCTTTTTCACGGCACATTTTGTTTTCCGTAATACTTCCTAAGATATACTTGACATGTGCTTCCAATTTTGTTTTCCCTGGAAGTTTCTTTTTAAAACCTTCATATATTGTAAAAAATGCTCTGTTGTGAACACTGAAATTTTATGTGTTGGGTGGGAATTTTTTTTCTTTTCAGTCTCTCTGCTAAGGACATAAAGGACTTAAGTGCACTTTAGGACTTGCTCCAAATTCACAGAACTAACTAGCAGGTAGGGCTGATTGTCTTGATACACTGTAATGGTGGAATATGACTTCCACAGATTGGATTTAATATAATTAAAATCAAACCCCAAAAAGCCCTAAGCCCAACCCAAGTTTTCAAGAAACACTCATGTCTTCCGTAAGCTCAGAGTTTCACTTCCTAATCAGCTTAAACAAACCCTAAATAATGCATAACCAGAAAGCAAACTGCAAGGCTCAAAAGCATTACCAGCCTGTCACAGAAAGATTATGTCTTGATTTAGGCAGAATTAAATTCTTTATTTGAACTACCAGGCAAACAGAAGGCTGTGAGAATTTATCAGTTTAGACAGGCAATCCACAGAGATTGCACTACAGGTTCTGAGGAAATTCTTGAAGAGCAACTGATGAAAATATTCAATAAACAAACCAATCTATCCTAATCATAAGAGTACATAAATGTGGTGAATTTCATGTTGATAGCATAAAATGATTCATTTTGCACTCAAAATTTACAACACAGACTAAAACAGAAATATGTTTTCATTAAGCATAAACACAAAATCAGTTGCAGAGATATTACAATAAAAAAACAGCAGAAAAACAAGACAAGTAAAACAAGACTTGTATTTTTTTTTTTAACTTGCTGCCTAGCAGTTAGACAAGCTGAAAATTCATAGCATTCCCAGAGCTGCCATGAAGCCTGCCTGCACCAAAACCAGTAAGTCTGATGGCAGAAACAATATATCTGGATACAGATTACAGAGTTACACCTAAAATATAGGGAAATAGTACTCAAGGAAGCAAGACCAGGGTTTTACTGCTGGAAGGTCCTGAAGTAGACCACTTTTACTGACCATAACTCCCTTTGAAAGACAAGACAGTTAAGATAAGGACCTCAGCGATGCACATTTTTGTGCACCGTGCAGTGGTGCAGCTCCACGCAGCTGCTCTGAAGACTCACAGCACTTTTCACAGCCTCACCTCTGCCTGGGTGGCAGATAAGCCCCAGCAGCACAAGCACTGCAAGGCAGCTTATGAAGAAAACGACAGAAGGAAAACAACAAACCTTGCAAAAAAAATCCAGCTCTTTTCTGTCTCCCTTAATATTGCAACTTCTATTTTAAGCAAGTTTGGGCTAAGGCTGCAGCACGACCAAGTGCTCCGCTAACAGCCTTCATGTTTGATCAGCTGCATAATGCAAACTTGGCAACAATGGCAGCAAACTGGGCAGCAATGCCCTTTTTTTCTCAAGTGCACTACCCTGGAAAAAAGTATCTTCATGTCTGACCCATCCTGAAATTGCATTGCTATGCAGAGCACTTGGTGCTTTTGAGGAAGCCTGGAAGAACTGAAAAGCCACAGCACAGAAGCAGTTGCTCATGGCACAGTTTTAGGAAAAGTGCATGAAATTATATTTGCATAGTAAGGGACAACAAGGTAGTGCTGCAGATTCTTCAGAGCCCCTAGAAAGTAGTCAAAGTAGTCAGCTTTTCTTAAACTCTTATTTTAAGTCAAATACACCAGCTTGGACCTAAAGAATATTCAAAATAAAGGAGCAATGCCTAGGTGCAGTCCTGAGGACAGTAGGAGATAAGCAGCAATGTCTGGCAGGAACGCAGCAGCAAGTATTTAAGCAGGCTGCACTCATCTCTGCTGCTCGTTCAGCCACAGCAAGAGGTGTGTGACCACAGCCACCTCAGATCACAGCAAAAATCAAGCTGGGAAATACCCCATAAAGACGGTGGATTCACTTTAAGTATTTTTTTTATTTTTTTTTTAGACGGGAAGTGTTCATTCCTCAGCTCCCTGCACTATGATGTGTTTACCTGTGGCTGCTGCCACCCTGCCTCTCTGCATACTCCTTCCTTAAAATTACCCGGGGCAAGAGCAGGAACCAGCTGCACCTGAATAAAAGAAAGAAACTCCAAAGACTCAAATTCCTACTAATGGATTGCTGCTCTCTAATATCCATGTGTTTTGACATCAACACAGAACTGAGAAAATTACTTCACCGACTGGATTTCTCAGTGAATTTGTTTTTCCCCTCAGTTTTTACACAGGTCTTCTGACCATGAACTATTACTCGGTTTATCTGGTTTTTAGTATTAGCCACTTTGTAATTGTCAGGATATATTGATTGTAATGTAAAACATGAATCATATCTGGTGTATAGATGCATTTTACAGTCTGGACTTTGAGCATACACAGATTATCTGAGTGCTTGAACATGTCTTCAAAATACTGGAGATTAGGAGCTATCCCAGAATAAGACAGTTCCTCATGATTACCTCAGCTTCCCCTGGTGAGCTCTAGAGGGCACACAACATTCAGTTTTTGCAGAAAGTCTTTTCAAAACTACCCATGGTTTTGGATTTTTCTGCACTGTTCATACCCTCACTTTAATAAACTGTTGCCAACATTTTCTAAAATTAGGTATCTTTTGTTTTGATATTTAAATTATGCAAATATTCACTCTGTTCAAAACAACAACAGCAAAACAAAACCCATTCAAATTTGGGAGATAGACATTCTTGTTTTGTAGAATCAATCGTCAGAGAATCTTAAAAGTATTTTCACATGGTCATGTGGGACAAAGTATATCCCTTCTATAGGCAAAAGGCTTTGAAAAGTATGTCAAGTTAGAACAAAAGTACACAACTCATCCTACTTACATAGCATGCTATGATTACTGGAGAAGCCAATAAAATATAGACTATAATAAAATATAAAATAATAGAATATTAACTCCTCTGTAAAAACTTGGGTTCGTTGCTAGATTTCCTTTTTTGGGGGGAAATTAAGGCATTTCACACGTAAGCACAAGGTACAGACCAAATGAAGAAAGCCGGTCCTCAGCGTAAGTTTTAGCAGCTTGCAGGAAAAGGACAGGATGTATGTAACCGAGCCAGAGCAAAACCTATGTTTGGCCCAAAACTGAAGCCGGAATACAATGGCACCAGAAAGGAAGCATGAGGTATGGACACCAGTGGCTTCTAATGGCATCAAGGGCACTCTTTACAGTTCATCTGTTCCTGGCCAGGAGAAGCAGTGGAAGACAGAAAAACTCCCACCCATATAAGCTTTGATAATGGAACAGCAACCAGCTCAGCATCTGCTGGCCTGCCCCAAGCAACGCTGAGGAGCCACACGCTTTGAGTTTGTAGCAGCACAGGTTGACGGCCAAGAAATATGCATTTATCAAACAGCCAGGTACAAGCTCCATGCAGAGTCCCAGTTCCACAGGTGGTACCTTTTGTGAGCTCCTGGCTGTTGCTGGTTTCCACTGGAAACCGGCATTTTTACTTACTAATAGGAGTTGGCAACAATGGACATAGCTACAACACGTCCCAAGGCATTTGTTGCAAAATATTAATACCAAAGGCATAGAACTCCATTTGAAATAATAATTTCAAAGCTGGTGTGCTAAGGTCATTCTCCCATGATTGGCAAAAGCACAAATACACACCATAAACAATTGGGAAAAAAGGTTTTAAGCCAGGATTTACAGCCAGATGCCAACACCACAGAGTCGTATTTTGATGGGAAATGAATTCCAGAGCCTAGGGGTTAAACACATGTTTCATCCCCTTGGGTGGGCACTGGGGACGTAGGAGTCTTGTTTGGCTAAGCCTAAGGAGCAGATCTATGAGAAGAAACAAATTTCTGCATTTGAATTATGAAGGATGAACTGGTTCTGATAAACTAAAAAATGCAGCAAATTTCAAGGCAAAACACTTCAGCCAGTATTTCCCTGATTTATGATAATGCACTTCATTTCAAAGGCCTTTAGAACACAGAAGAGAATGGCAGCTTGCTTACACAATACTTAACCTAACTCGTACTAGAAATAGACTTAAAATAGGAATAAAATTAGGCATATCATTCTTGAAAATTGAAGTTTATCTGTATAACTAGCCTATTCTTCTATGTTCCATATGTTTTTATAGGACTTCTGCACTCTTTGAATTCAGTTTTGTAGAATTCTTAGATTTTTTTTTCACAGAAATACATTAGGATTTTTATATTAAAACCTTATCCAGTAAAGACTAAATGGAATTTCTGGTCAAACAAACAGTGGGAAAAAACGATCTTGCCAAGAAAACAATAAGACTTTTGTTACAGAAAAAATTTTCACAGCTTCGTGAGCTCTTACAAGTTTAGTAGATTCTGAGCTGAAAGAATAGTTACAATGTGGTGCAGCTCCCTAAGGATAAGTGGAGCTATTTCAATACTCAACACCCAGCAAACAGATCTCCACTCAGAGTTTAGGCTTGGGAATTTGAGACAGATCTCTTGAAATTGAGCTTCTCTAGTTCTACAGTCCACCTCACATGTACCACTACTAAAAACAGTTTATTGGGCATAAAGCATATTGCACTGCTACAGACACAAAAAGAACACCTGCCTTTGACAGTTACGGGGATATACCTCAACAGATTTTTTTCTTAAAAAGCAACAGATTATTTCAAATTATTTCCAACTTAAAATTAACTTTCACCAAAAAAAAAATTCACCAAGTATTTCAAAAGTGTAGCTGGAAAGGCAGCTACTAGCAGCAGCTGAGATTCACCAGAATAACTGAATCGTCTTTAGAGTGAGATGTTGGGGCGAAAAAAAAAAAGTTCCAGCGCTGTTGTTTCAGAGGTGAGTGCAAGACTAGTGATAATCTCACTCTGGTCCCAAAAAAGAGAGCTCCATAAAGCAAGGTGTATGATAGGGGTTAAAACGTGTATGTACTGCAACTATAGCAGAGAAACCACTTAAACTTTCGCTCAAATCTGATATAGCCAAAACATCTGCCTATCACCCCATAAACGTCCCTACACTTCTGTTCCCTTTATGACAAAGGAATGGAGCTTTTAAGGCCCATTTAATAGCCAGCAGCTGTTTGGCTGTCAAATGCCACATCTGGAGAAGCTGTGTGCTGTTAATGTGAACAGAAACAATTACTCCTTAATAGTTTTGCTTAATTTTAAAAATTGCACAAATCACAACAACAAAAGAGGTGCATGTTCTTGATGGAAACACATCTGGTTTCTCTGAAAATAAGCCAAAACAAAAAAGGACTCAGTGACAAAGTGAAGCTGCACCTATAATCTGTCCCATTTCCATGAAGAGAGAAGTAAAGCTACTGATATACCGGCACTTAGCGTCTCCCAGACTTTGGCTATTCCCCTCCCCAAATGCGCAACTCACAAAACGACGATGACTAGCTGGTTCACACTAAATATGTTACTTAGCACATAGCGCTGATCCCCTCTGTGTCTGGACGTTCCTGTCCTTTGGGACTGGGTTTCAATGCTGCTGCCTCACTTGTGTAACCTGTAGTGCCTGTGCATCAAGAAAATAACATTCTTCTCCTTTCACATGGATCTTCTGCCTAATTGTACTACCAAAACCATAACTCACAGAGAGCATCTGGGCTGAGCTGAAACGTCAGGAAAGCCAATTTATTTTCTTCAACTTTCTTGGGCTTAAACGAGCTATGAGCAAGTTAGAGATGACTGTCTCTGGAGAAGCAATAAATGGAGCACGGTCACAGAGACTCACCACGCAAGAATCGTGTAGCTGCGCACAGATCACTAGTATAAAGAGAATTCAAGTTTTGCCATGAAAATCAATCAAATAGAAAGCTTGGCCAAGCAGAGCCACCAAGTAACACGTGCTTTCTGAGCAGCTTAATTCTCCCACTGAAACGCACACATGCAGAAAGCTGGTGAGAGATGGCAGGAAAGCGCTGACAGAACTGAAACTTAAGAGTTAAAAACCAAGAAAGCAGACAAATCTGGACCTTTTGAAGTGCCTGCTCTTTTACTGTGAAGATCAATAGGTAGAAAAGCTTGCACCCCTTTTAGCACACTCTCCTACCCTCAGTAGGCACCTTTTCTAAACGGTCCCTCTCCCACAGCGCTTTCTGGACTGGCTGCTCGCCCCACAAATCTACCTCAACTGGCTGCTTGTTCCACTGATACTGCTTGAGTACCACGAGCCTACTGAGATCTTACATATACTAATTTCTAGGGAAAGCTGCAATTCTGATGCAATTACATGGTTGGTATTTGTAACTGGTACTTTACACCATTATTCTTTCTTTTCCCAAATCAGACACCAACATAAACAGAACAAGGCAGATGCACAGTTCATTTTGCCTCCCGGCTCAGCCTTGGCCAGGATGCGGATGCATCACCAACGCTTTACTGACCTCGGCTGCACTCGTGATTCATTCAGGTCAGCGTCTCCCACACGAATCTGAGATTTTTTGCCAGTTACTAACAGCACAAGCAGAACAAACTGATGAAGGCCATTTGGAAACAGAGCCAGGAAACGCTACACCCAGTAGCTGACGGAGGATAACCAGCTCTTTCAAGTCAAGTCAGCTTCTTGGCTGCAGTAGCTGTTTGGCAGTCAAGCTAAAAGGCAGAGGAAGCTCGCTGCGTGGCTCTGTCTGTGTCACTGGTCCAGCGCCTGAGCCGCCAGGGACTGGCACACGGTTTCACCGGGGATGCCATCACCCGAGGGGAACCTGGCACCTCCCTCCCTTCACAGATACACAGGCTGGAGTCAAACTGCACTGGCAGCAGCTCACAAGGTCCTGAAGAAATGAGAAAGCCCAGTCCGCAAGGGATTTCAAATCCTGTTATTTCACAATCAACTAACCTGGGGAAAAAAATTATTCTTACAAGAAACAAAAAAGGGTAGAGTATTATTTCTTATGCTTGCCCAAACAATCTACAGTCACCTTAAAACATTTTTCTTATCTCTCTCTCAAACCCACACACTACACTTCATACTAGTAGCTAGTTTTTAATCCTCCTCAGCTACCTAATTTTTTTAAATCTTGCTGAATACAGCAGTATTCACCAAAATACTCAGCACTCTTCATTTTCTTAAAAGCTCCTTATTACTCACGGACAGTCTTAGAAAGGGGTTGCCGTCATCACTGCCTCATTAGAGCCTGTAGCCAGAACGTGACCTCTTTATCTCTACATCCCACAGTACCACCTCTTTTACAGCCATTATCAGTAGAACTAATATTAGTCTGTGAAGAAGCAGTTGCCCAAAATGGTTCTGAAATCTCCATACGTGGACATATTTGAAACATACCTAGACCTAACAAGTCCTGCTTTGAGCAGATCAGTCCAAATGACCTCCAGAAGTCCCTTCCAATTTAAACTATTCGCTGTGATTTCGCTCTTATCAGTAGAGAAAATTTCCACGTTTCACTAATTTAAACAGAAGTGATATAGATCTCCACAGAACAAACTCAAGCAGTAAAACAACTATTCACGAGTCTCTGGAAATTAAGTCGATTGACACACAGGAAACACTCAACTATATATTTCCAATAATGTAATGTAAACTACTTTTTGAAAAATAAAAAATTAAAGCTAGTTAATACCTTTCGATCTCAACACACTGATGGGGGCACAGTTCTAGACGATCCTCTGCATCTTTCTCCTTCTTTCTGAGCTGCTCACAGTGAATCTATTGGAAACAGGGAGGGGAAAAAAAACAGACTTTAATGGGAAATAAAAATCTAGGAAGATAAATTTAAGTACACAATCACAATAAGAAGAGATAACCATGTCTTGCCTGTATTTATTTTTTCCTCTTCATATATCACAAACGGCCAACAAGTAAGGCAGGAACCTAATTCCTCCTTCCCAACATCATCATCTCTCCGCCTGCCATTCCAACAGGGACAGTTTTGCAACAGCAGGAGCACTAAGTGTCTCTTGGCTGTAGTGGCAAGAGTATCACCACAGAGCAAAGCTGCTGGCAGTTGCAGGAGCATTGGATAGTGTTGCAAAAAGGGCATTTATTATTCACCCTAAAACTATCAACTACCTTAAAAACTATCAAGTTCAAGCACGTTCCCACACTGGCCAGAAAATTCACATATTTCATGGAAGGGTCCAGTAAAACGACTGCTCCAAATTTAAGAGAGTTTGAGTAATGAGTCTCATGTAGATCACTTGCAGAGGAAAGGAAAGGAGCCACGTGTGAGTTACTGTGCACAAGCGCAGTGTTCAGGAACTATACAAGCTAACTACTGTCAGAGCTAACTGCTGTCCAGCACTACATTTCCAAAGAGAGAGGAGGGAGGTGGGTGAGAAACCCATACCCTTCGCAGAGAAAAGGACACTCATCAGGGTAACAGTAAGCTTTCCCCATTTAGATACTCCTTTTTGGATGACAAGTCCAACAAGAAAGCAGGCAAGCCTTTTGTAGTTTAGGAGGTACCACAACCATCACAAGTGGGACAACAGATGGTACCAAGAGCGAGGCAATGCCAC